CCATAGCACCTTCCAATTTCAATTAGTCTATCAATCATGCCCTGTAGCACAGTTTCTTCCTTAGCCATTAACACAAGGTCATCTGCATATTTCACAGTTTGAATAATTTGCCCTCCTACTTTGAAGTCACCGAGCCCATCCAGAGCTTCCTTGGTAAGGCATTCGCTGTACAAGTATCTTCATGGTATTGCTACATTTTCTTACTGATTATGTCAGTATGCTAAATATATGAATATGAAGCCATGAAGATCCTCACGCTCCTTGACAGATCCATTAAACAATGAGAAACTGAAATGTGGTGTTCTCTAACTCTATAGTGTATTAGTTACTTGAGAATAAGAATGTGTCACAAAAATCATTTTTATGTTGCAATGCACACTTGAAAGTAGAAGGGGCTCAGTTCTGGGAATCCATACAAAATATGGAAAGTTGTGTACCTTCAGCAATAATCCATAAAGAAACTTCCTTTAAGGATTTAAAGATTCTCATATATTACTGAATGCAATCTTAATCTTGTTAGCAAGATGGTATTTCAGATTCTCGAATTTCATCATACTACGTACTGAAATTAATAATAAATGAAAACCTTAGTATTATTGCTTGCTGTACATAATTTATGATATATTAATGTAACATAAAATTCTGTTCTGTGTAGTTTTCATGTGTAAGGTCTGAGCAAATTTATGAAATTGAATACACGTATCACTGATGGAAACAGAATTTTATTTCTAATTTTCCCACCTTCAGTTTTCCTGAACACAAATATCCCAATACAGAACTATTAGGCTTTATTTGGACTCTATCCCATGTATATTCTATGTAGCTGTGTAAGTTGTAAGCAAAGTTATGAAGTTGAATACAGGTATCTCTGATGGAAACAGAATTTCTTTCAAGTTTACCCACCTACAGCTTTTCTAATCACAAAAGTTCTATGAATTTTATAGCTCACATGGTCAATTGCATTTCAGTGAGGTGTTGGGTTGATGTAAATGAGATAATGGGTATAATGTGTAATGTAAGAGAACACACAGATCGTGACGACAAATGAACTATATAGAAATATGTCATAAACTACAAATTACGTAATTATCCTGTTTTATTTGTCTTGATGGGTATTACATCTTGTATGATAGTTTGAAGAACATGTTTGAACAAGTGTCTGTTAACCATTTTATTATTACTGTGAAGTTTTGCATATGTGATCATGAATTATATTTTGGTGAAATATGCACGGTATGTGTATGACTATGCATTGTAGCATGTTGGCTTGCGTGCTTTTGATTTCTGTTATTGACTAAGTTGCACCTGAAGTTGTCAACTATTTTTATGCTTATTTTATATTATATGACTAATCTACTGTTTTTGATTGTTTTAATAAGTGAATTTTGTATGATAAGTGTCTTTTTTATATGCATTTTAATTTGACGCACTTGATTAATGGAATGAGTAATGAATGAACGTCTTAATGGAAATTTTATTTTATTTTAGTCCATGATAAATCTTGATAAATTTCTTGATCATTGTTTAATGTGTATTATAAGTATTATAAGTTTACCTCATTTAATTGCAATATTACTGTATTATTGTATAGATACTATGTATTCTAACTTGACTTGTTCCATATCCTATGGTGTCTCACCTGTACTGGATTTACGGAAGGTAAATAAATTCAATTCAATTCAATTCAATCATACTTTATGGGCACTGCTGAGAAACTTTCTCCAAATGAACATGAATGAAGTGATATTAAGCTCAGTTAAAAGAAACCACACATACACACACACACACACACACACACACACACACACACACAAAGGAATAAGAACCTCTACAATACAAGGGATAAATCTGCAACCTCATTTATTCCTGTTCTTGTGAACTATCAGCTCCATAGCCCGGGGGTTCGGGGCAGTACGCGTGGGCCGGTGTTATGATAGCATACATTATTACCGATCATACTTTCGGCACTGGCGACGGCCTGTTTGTATTAATAGGCACAAATCTGAATGTAGATGGCGAAAGCAATGCTCCCGCGACCTCACGGTGACCCTGAATGAAGGCAGAGAAAATTGACTATGATGATAGGAATAATCTACATGCGATAGGTAGCCTGATCCGTGGGTAACTACAATAACTACAAGATGTCACCAGATCACGGAATGCCAGACTCTTTATGACTGTTGCCCGCTTCGAGTTGGAATAGTCTGCAGTATTTCGATAGCTCGAATTGTCGATAGTAATAATGAATTCGCCAATCAGAAAAGACCACGAATATCATGAAACCATGGAGTTGTACTTAATGCTAGTGTATGATGAGAAATTAGTGTTGACATTGATGTTATAGTGATGTTGTAACATAGTCTTCTGCTTTAAGTAATTCGTGTATAACAATGGACTGCAAGTCGTTGTCTTCTTGGCGAATATCGTCGGCTTGGGTGTTTCTTTTAATTCTTGATTTGACATTTGATGGTACGATTGATTTTAACCTTTCATGTGGCTCCGTTATTAAGTAAAATTATTTTTATTTATTTAAATAAGTAGTAAATATCGTGCCAATTTTTCAAAAGTAATTTTGAGTTACATTCGCAGAAACTTGTAATATGTCGTGTTGGAGGCAGTCGGCCTTCCTTTGCCTTTAGTTTGTGTTTTTTAAAATTGAGTTTTTTTATGTGACTAGAAACGATCTAGGTTATTTTAGAGTGCATTACGAAGGATGGCGGAGCAACCGATTATAGGAGGGCTCCTAGCTATGTTTTTCCTTTCATTACCTTTTTTTTTTTTTCCAGGTAGTGACAGCACATCAGAAAGTGAAATAAATAAACATTTGGAGATGGGGAGAGATTTGTTAAGCCGAGGGCAGTTACAGGATGCATTATCTCATTATCACGCAGCTGTGGGTGAGTTTGAGTTTGATATTGTTACCAAACAACATTACAGAGAATTAACAGAAGTGTTTTTAGCGGTCAAATACAAAATTATAATTGATGAGAATATAATATTACTGTATGTAGTGACACTCTGTATGTTGTAAATAACAGCGATGTAAACGGAAGGGTTTAATATTAATTTCTGCTGGTATTGAATATGTTGTGTGTTTATTGTTTGGGCTTATGGGCACACTTTTTCATACGTGTTGTAGAATGAGTAAGTGCAAATAAATGTAGTGGTGTAGTATTTGTAAGGGTGCAGGTATGCATACCAGCTAGTCAAAACTCACTATGTAATTCATGCCACTGGAGGTCACATAGGCCACATTGATACTTTTTAATTTTGTACTGTTAAACTTTCCATTACGGATCCTGTGTAACCTTCATGGTGGTACCAACACTGTCATATTGTCTTGAAGTTTTATGGTGGGATGTCTATGAAAAATGGACATTTTTTGCTAAGATCACTTTTGACAGAAAAGCTAAATAGAATGGTGATTGTGTCATATAATCTGGATACTTCTAATAATGGTGGTAAATCTTTAAATAATACCCAAATTTTATTAAGAAAAAATTTTGGTGAGTGAAGAAAGTGACAATGCAGAATGTTTCAGTTTGTTGATAATCACTGATGAATAACTATAACTTGTCATTAGAAATATTATCTGTATCACCATGTTGTGTGTAAGATAATGCCTGTTATTATTCAGTCAGTACAATTCTGGTGTTTATACCATGCATTTGCATGTACCGCATGTTTCAGCCTATTGTTGCTATCATCAGGTACATAGAGCTTTTAAAATCAACTTTCACACAAAAGACATGTCAGACACCCGTAGGTCAACATACAACCACAACAGCAACATAAGATACAGAAAACTGACAGATACCCTTACCAAAACATGCACACTTATAATACACGCATTAATAACACATTCGTAATTAAGATCATTGAAGATCCCATGAAAAACAAGAATGCACATTGGTGAACACCATCTAAAAATCTGGCAACACAGAACAAAACGGACATGACAACATAAAGTAAAAGAAGAATGTACTGAGTATGTATGTGTACACGCACGCACAAACACAGCATTTAATACATAACTCAATTTTAATTCCAATTAGAATATTCTGTTGGAGTTAGTGAGTTGGTTGATGGTGAGTTAGTTTGATGATCGTTGCTATTTGAAGTTAGTAGCTGCGATTGGAGACAGTTTGGGAACCCAGAGGAAGGGGAACATTCGCCATTGGAAGCCGTTACCAGAAGAATGGTGAAGGTGTGACTGTGGACACTGGTGTGTGTGGGTGTGTGTATATAACAGTGAACTATAAAGTGTAGTTGCGCACTGTATCAAAGAGTCCAATAAATCCAGTCATTAATTTAAAATATGACTCTAGTTATTCCATTAAAATATAACACCATGTTATAAACACATCTGTTGCAAGTTTTAGTTTTATTTAACATTTTGATTGATACACACTACTATAGTAGGTAGCTTAACGTCCATTATTTATCGTCCGTCAATATTGCAACACTCTTTCATTCACCACTCAATTTTAGTTTAACATTATACACCTTGACACTACACGTTTCGGCCCCAAACGGCCAATGTCAGATCTCTTAATATGTTACAGATATTTTTATTAAACTGTGTTAATACTGCTACACTGTCTTAGTTCGTGTTAAAATCACACACTGCAGTTCTCTTTTCAAGGTAAAATCAGATAAAATCTTTTAAAGTTTCTGTTATACCCACGTTATTTTGGTGCATATTATTTCACCTCACACGGGGTGTCGTCCATTTTCATAAATGTATGTCTGTCCGGGGTGTTTTGTAACAGCAGCTTGCCCCTCACGTTCGTAGCATACTTTTCAGTTATGACTGCCATATGCCCCTGGTTTCCTCCACAGCGTGTGTGGTGTTGTCTTTACTAGTCTGGCTGTTTGGGGCCGAAACATGTAGTGTCAAGGTGTATAATGTTAAACTAAAATCGAGTGGTGAATGAAGAAGTGTTGCAGTATTGATGGACGATAAATGATGGATGTTAAGTTGAACAATTGCAACGGGATGCTGAAATACAGAATCATAGTAGGTAGCATTGTGCTATTGTATAACACCTGTGTTACTAAGTATTGTTATATTAGGGTTGACCAGTGGGCTTCCGAGTTGGCCAATTTTAGCTTCTTTATTAGCTGATTTTAGAGTCAGTTGCATGCTAGCAGATAAAGGACCATGCAGTGAAACCTATAAAAGACCTGAAGATGGTTTTGGAATCATATGGTAGCCAAGAAACTTTAGTCCTATGAAAATCATGAAAAAGGTAGGAGGAATCTTGTAAGGGTGTGTGACCTAGCAGCTGAAAGATGTAGCAATTAAATTGTTGAAGCCTACAATGTTTGATCATTCAGAACTCCTAAAGCATGTGACACCAAATTTGAGTGTTTTAATGCTTGTTTACTCTGGACTGAAGACTGACTGTTACCATATCTACTTTTGATATGTATCATTTGATATTGGTTGAAAAATTATGGGGGGATCACTGGGTTTTTTTTGCCTTGTTCATTAATTAGTGACTAAGCTGATGTGTAGATAAAGATGGAACTATTCATGGCCACTGCTGTGAGAAGCTCAAAACCCAAAACCTACATAATGTTTAATTGTTCCTTCTCTTTTCTGTGTATTTTTAACTTTATCCATATTATCAATTTTATGTGATGTTCTAGAAAGTGATTTTTATTGATACCATTCATGCAGAGTGGAATTGTATTTCAAACTAAAGCAAGTTTTCTGGTGACCAGTATCCAAATTAGGAGCCATTGTCACCATGTGCTTTAGTTATGCTTGAAATTGATTGATAAATGACATTTTCACTCCATGCATTAGTTCAGAATTCTTAATTGTTTCATTAATTGTCCTGATTTTCTAGAGGGTGATCCTAATAACTATCTGACTTACTTCAAACGAGGAACTGTCTATCTGGCATTAGGTAAATCCAAGTTCGCTCTTATGGATCTAGACAGAGTTTTGCAGTTGAAACCTGACTTCAACTCAGTAAGTATTTTGAATAGCAGAGAACTAGCTGCTTAAGTCAGAGTTAATTTTTTATTTTTTTTCCTGTTTGTGAATTGAGCTGTGGTAATGTAGTCATCTCTTATGTATCCAACGTGTAATGTTGGAGAAAGGTATTGTGAATAATATTGTCGCATGTTGGGTGTGTGACGCGACAAATAACTTCACGCCGTATTTTATATAGCGAATTCNTTCTGTGTATTTTTTAACTTTATCCATATTATCAATTTTATGTGATGTTCTAGAAAGTGATTTTTATTGATACCATTCATGCAGAGTGGAATTGTATTTCAAACTAAAGCAAGTTTTCTGGTGACCAGTATCCAAATTAGGAGCCATTGTCACCATGTGCTTTAGTTATGCTTGAAATTGATTGATAAATGACATTTTCACTCCATGCATTAGTTCAGAATTCTTAATTGTTTCATTAATTGTCCTGATTTTCTAGAGGGTGATCCTAATAACTATCTGACTTACTTCAAACGAGGAACTGTCTATCTGGCATTAGGTAAATCCAAGTTCGCTCTTATGGATCTAGACAGAGTTTTGCAGTTGAAACCTGACTTCAACTCAGTAAGTATTTTGAATAGCAGAGAACTAGCTGCTTAAGTCAGAGTTAATTTTTTATTTTTTTTCCTGTTTGTGAATTGAGCTGTGGTAATGTAGTCATCTCTTATGTATCCAACGTGTAATGTTGGAGAAAGGTATTGTGAATAATATTAATACAAGAGAGGAAGAGTTGTTACTCTTCCCCATATCCTTAATTCAGCACCTATACTACTACTGTTAGTTCCTCGGACTCTCCGTGGTAGAAGGCTCATACCATCTCTCGCGCAGCTGGGGGAGCAGTCTTATCAGCTTACGTCAGAGTGGGTACTACCAGTTTGGAATGTAGCGTCTTGGAGTGTGGTCAGGTGTATAGTACTACTCCTGGTCTCCGTAGGTAATGTTTTCCGCTCGGGGAGTAGCTCTGAACATCACCACAGCAAGTGTACTGCTTCGCGTGCTCCACAACAGTGTTTACATTTCTGCACGGCTAAAGTTACGAGGCACTAACTATACTGTGTAAGGAATGAAAGATTGCAACTCCTAAGTAATGCTACTGTACAGAATATTCGTTTGAGACAGGAGTGTGCTGATTGAAACAATGTGGTGCCAGTAGTTTACTGCATGAATGTAGAGAGAACAATATAGGTTGTTTCCATGCCTGCAATGCTGCCTACCTAAACACCTTCATTAGTGATGACTGTAGAAGATACCATCATATTGAATAAGAACTGATGGAATTGTCCATTTTCTGCATTCAGGTATACCTTGCAGTATGTAAACAAGTTTTATGACATGTTCTGAAGCTCTAAAGCAGTAATTCACCATGCATCGATGCACACTTCACCACTACTTTTAATACTGTAATGGCATTTGTTGCATGACATGAGGATTTTCTTTGCCCCCGGGATAGTGACTGGCTATGGGCTGGACGACTGAGGGGTCAGAGTTCGAGTCCTGGTGGGGTAAAAATTGTTCTCTTTTCCACGTCGTCCAGACCGGCTCTAGGGCCCACCCAACTTCATATCCAATGGGTAGTGGGGAGGTAAAGCGGCCAGGGCATGAAGCTGACCACTCACCTCCAACCCGTACCGAGGTCAAGAAATTTTGGATCTATTTAAGGACAAGGACAACTTTACCTTTAACTTTACCATATTGAAAGTACTGATTTATAATCATGCCTGGAAATCAAACACATTTCTTATGGATTGTTAATATTTGTCACAAACTGAACCTGTGTTGTGTCACTTTCTGACAAGCTTTGATGCACACAGCTCTATGGAAATTCCTTTTTTATGGATTTGCTAATGAACCTCTGAATTCCCTAATATATGTTACTGTCTTAGATTACTTCATGTTTGATGATTGCACAGATGACTGACTCATTATATTCATTGAAGACAAAATGTAGTGTTCGTTCTGTTCACCAAGTTGCTACACTTCCCTGATTTAACTCCTCAGTCATGTAAATATACAAACTATACAAATAAGGAGTGAAAAAATCATTATGCCATTCAGCAAATGCCATTACATAGTGTAAGTGTGCAATGAATTATTTACTTTAGAACTTCACAGCATGTCACAGTAGTTATTCATGTGTCTTACTTGTAGACAGGAAGGGGTCAGTTCACGTAGTTGTTACAAAATACGGTAAGTTTGTGTCATTTTTGTACAGTAGTCAGACTCAGCATCACAGGCATGGAAACCCCCTGCACTGTGCCCTCTGGTCATGCAGTGAACTAGTACTGCACTGTCACCAATAGCATATTTCCATCTCAGTTGAACCCATTGTACTTAGTGATGTACATGAACATTTCCACTGTGTGGCTAGGATAGGAAACCATTCTCTCTCCCCGTTTCATTCTGCCACATCTGCCTGATGATTGCTGTATCACCTAAGTTTAATGCATGAAGTGAAGTATGTCAAAATGTTGTTATCACTAGGCAACCATATATGGTTTAATGCAAAATGCAATCAGCATTTATAAGCCTTACCACAGTGTGGCATTTGAACAGCAAATAACAGAAAAGAGTATGATGTTACATTCTTTCATTTTTAGATTCTGGGTGAGGAACAGGTACTTGGATAGTTTTATGGTAGACACATTAAAGTGGTTCCTTATTATCAAGGCATGACACTAGCTGGGAGTGCAGGGAAGGAGAGGCAACTGATCATCATCCAGTTCTGCCCAGGAAGAAGAGAGAATTTTGAACTAGGACCCTGTGGCAGTTAATGTGTTGAAATTTCAAGCGAATTATTATTTCTGTGTAACATGTTAACAAACATGTTCAGCCCTTCTGAATCCATTCATAAGGTTCCTTTGTGTCATTTCTTATTTATTGTTGAACCAAAAAACGTGAATTATTTTATATTGTAATTCATAATTATCATTTCACAGTCCCTCTCTCTATTAAGATAATCTCCAGAATCTTCTTAGATGATCAGAAATTGTGAAAGTTTAATATTATTAAATAATTATTAACAGCAAATAGGTTGTTCATGGTGAACGTGATTCTAGCTTGGGAGTCAGTGAAGGGTGCAGTCTAGTTTCATTAGATCAAAATTTCTATTTTCAGGCAAGATTACAGAGAGGAAATGTTCACCTGAAGCAGGCGCAACTAAGTGAGGCAAAGGCGGATTTCAAGAAAGTGGTAAGAGGTCCATCTGATGCACACACGCACACATCGTAACACACACACACAGATTAAAAGAGAACATGAGAGAAATACCAACATAGACATATATGCATGCACACAGACAGTGCTTTTCTTTTTCCAAAACATGTTTGCTTTATTCATGCTGAGTTTTATTTAGCTTCAAGGTCAGGGCTTACAATGCACCAGCAGATGTATGACTTTTGACAAGTTTGCCGGTGTATATACTGACTAAAAAAACATCGTATCTTGTGTGTGCATGCATGTGCACATGCATATGTGAACTGTCACGGGCTGCAATCCTGCTTTTACTAGTCCAGATAGGCAGGAACAAGGTCCATATAACAGTCTCAAAACTTAAAATATTTCATTTTAAATATCTGATTTCATAAAGAGAGAAATTAACACACATAGTTTAATAATGGATATGTGAGAACAGTTACCACTACTTAGACAAAATTGTGTTGATTATTGCAGTTAGAATGAATCAGCTTTTCATCATGGCTAGATGTCACATGTTATTCGACGTCTTGATTGTTCAGTATTGTGAAGCAAAAATACAGTGTCATAACTGACCTCGCAGTAGCAGAACCCAATGAAATTCGTCTTTTTAGGTGTGTGCAAGTCTTAAACTTTTGCGGTTAAATTTAAGCAAGAAATATCTCTTATCTTGATTCAGACACTGATTTTTTTAGTTGTGTACACTGGGAATTTTCAGATAACTGTTTTTGCTATACAAAATCCCCTATCCATTGGAGTCTTAGTGATTGGGAATGCTGGCATGAAGTAACTTGTCAACAAAGTCTCCCCCCCTCTCTTGTGCCCACATTGTAAATAAAGTAAAGGTATCTCTGTAACAGGCAGTGGAGACCCACAAGGTTGTGAGGTGTTGAGGCTCCCACATTTTCTAGACAGTAGGCTCACAGATGGTGGTAAGGTTGTCAGCCTTATGCGCTGGCTGCCCTATACCCCCGCAGGAAGGTTCCTGGTCTTGATTTCTGTTAGAGGCTGAGTTGACCCCAAGGTCAAGGCTGGAAGGATTACATAAATTGAAAAAATCTACCTAATCGGTATTCGATCCCATGACCTTCTGGCTTGTAGTGCAGTGGCTCAACCAACTATGCTACTGCATGCCCCCTCTGCCCACATTGTGTCTTTGTTTATTTCTATGTACAGCATTGGTGTCTGATGTCAGAAGGGATAAGTAGTAGATTTAGTATTTTTTTTAATGTGGCTAGTTTTATAAAGTGTGATTAAAGTAAAAAAATTGGTCTGGTAAAGAAAATTTTTTCTCTCATCTATATTCTTGAAAATGTTTGCAATTTTTTGTCTTATCTCATGTTGATTTGAAAATGTTGTTCTTGCATTATCTGTCGTTTTATTTTTAAGCTGGAAGAGGACTCATATAATGAAGATGCTCTAATTGGACTTAGCAAGGTTGAACCAACAAGAGTTGACATTTCTCAAGCCAGAGCTTTGGTCCATGCGAGAGATTACAGAAACGCTGTTGAGCTAATCACAAAGATTTTAGAGGTCAGTAACAGAAAATAAATTAAGTGACCCCTGAGCTTGTAATGTGCAGGAGGGTGCATATTGCACACAAGCACACATCACACACACACACACACTTGTATTAGGCCATGACTATCATTTTAGTTTATTATACCTATTGTTTTAGAATTTATGGCATTCTTTCAAATGTCCTGATCTGATGGCTTGCAGGTGTGAAATGCATTACATAGGATGACATGACTTTAATTGATTTTAACTAATATGATGCCTACATTCAATGTAGGGGTGAGGAATTCTGTTAAAATTCAGCCAGTTGGCAATGAGGAACTGGTGTTAGCATCAGATACCACTGCCTGGAGTTGATGCATCACTGGTATGAATCATCTTGGGGGGCGGGGCATTCATCTTCATCAGTCAATATATGTTTTGTAACTTTGGAAATTCTTTATAATGAATTAATACCAGTAGTTGCTAAAGTGGCGCAATGTAAAAATTGAGCATCATTGCTTGTGCATATTCAGGAACTCATTGTTAAGACTACAGTTTTTAAGTTACATAAATACATTTACCATAAAGTGAATTATTGTGGCTTGTCATATGATGCATGACTGGAGTGTTTCCCCATTAATGCGACCCTTGAGGCAGTGTCTGACCTCTAACAGCTGAGTTACCTATCCTTACCCATCCACATCTCAGCTAGAGCCATCCAGAAAGGTCGGGTTGCTAATGCATACTGATCTGTGTTATGCAGTATTTAAACTAAAATCACATTAGATGAGGTTGAAATTATTCTTTCTGATGATGTAAGGTATGTCCCTGGTCATCTGATCTTCGTGAGTTACGTGCAGACTGCCATGTGGCTCTGGGAGACACAATGTCTGCCATATCTGATATAAGGTCTACAACAAAACTAAGGTCTGACAACACTGCAGGTTTTTTCAAACTTGCTGTTCTCTACTATCAGCGTGGAGAACCCAGTGAATCACTGAAGTAAGTAATATATGTGATCATCATTAATTCATGTGTGTTCAGTGGTTTAGAATGGAGACTGTTTAGTCCATGTTTACTTGAGGATGCTTCTTTAACTGTACTAGTTACGTAGCATCAAATTGTGATTTGTGAGTGATAAATTGGAAAGAATGTGAGAGGATGTTATCATGACCTGTTAAAGGTACTAGCATTTGCTTGGAGCAACTAGAGGAAACCACAGAAAGCTGTCAGAACAGCTGCCTGGGTTTACTTTCCAACAGCACTTCTGGGAGTGCTGATCACTCAAATGAATGTTCTGTGCTCAGAATAGGCTTTCCATGTACTGGTGATGAACCAGAATGTTACTTGCAGTGCAGTTATGTTTCTTTATAGCATACTTTGACATAAAGAACCCCTTATGGTTGTTTGATCATATGTGTACACTTGTGAATGCAGTATGGCTCCTGAATGATAGGTAGAACGGCAAAGAAATGCAGGTCCCTGCTGCTCTCCTTAGTTTTACTAGGCTGTACTGGACAGCCTAAAATTGTCTAATGCCTGTTTGTTATACTCACCAAGTGCCCATGGTTAAGCGGTCTTGGTAGTCTAGGGGTAACGTTCCCACCTCATGACTCAAGGTACGTGGGTTCAAACCCGGTGGAGGTCGTGGAATTTTTAAGGGCAGAAAAATTCAGAGAACAAGTCCTCTGGGAGGGACCTTAAGACGTGGGTCCCATGTCGTAGATTTATGGCATGTAGAAGATCCTCATGTCTCTAGGAGACCTCTGAGCAAAATTAGGTAAAAAGTTTCCCACCCAAGTAGTTTCCAATGCCTCTGGTAGATGGGCAAGTATCGGGTACCACTGCCAGTAGAGGGGCCGAACTCGCTGGCCAAACGGGGCTGATAGCGAGCACCAGTACTGGAACGGTATGGTGACTGGTAGAATATCAAAGGGGGACATTCAGTAGATCAACAACTGATCGCGGTGCATGGGGAAACCTACCCCCTCCAATAACGAATGAATGAATGAATGAATGAATGAATGAATGAATGAATGAATGAAAGTGCCCATGGTTTATGTGAAATGGCTTGTAACACCAGGCAGTACAATGTTTTTGATTTATAAGTAAAAGTTTGGGTGATTTAATGCAATTGTCAAGCATGAGAGTACATAAAAACTCGGTATCTTCAGGAAACTGGTTAATTACTTTTTTGTCGAAGTAACTGCGGAGTCACATAAGATTTGATGTTTTCATGGCAGCTGAACATACTGAAATCTTATTGGGTGATCAGCCAGGTCAGTGTTGAACTAAAGGCATTTTAGAGGCTTGCAACATCCTGATGTTGGGAATGGAGACGGTGTACAAAATGGTCTTAGCTCATCATAGAAGCAGCTGATCAGCTCAAGATTTGAGTGACTTAAAACACTTGCATATGGCATATTGGATTTTAAAAAGCTCTGTTTCTGATTGAGTTTATTCATGTTGAGACATCATTATTGCCTATTTCTCCCTGTGTATATCCACCATTAGTTCTGACAGCATGATATGATCTTGGGTCATTTTGTAGATTTTATTTAGTTTTAGAATATTCAGTTCATGCACCATTTCATGTATTACTCCCTTCTGTATTTGTCTTTCATGAATGGCGAGATCACCTGACTTTCTTATTGTTATTTTGTTAGCCAGAATCTTAGCTGTCATCTCCCGAGAAAATGGAGTCTTAGATTGGCGGCTAAGATGCTGCACACTATAAACATGGACATCCCTTGCTTAAACTAAAAAAATTGTTTAGAACTCTCCATCACAGTAGATGCTAAGAATGTCTCCCTTCTACTCTTAAACAAACTTCAAGAAACTTGTGAAGACTGTTTGATGTTAGTTTGAATTCACTGACCTCGCTAGATATAATTGTTTCGCAAATGTTGTCCCTAAGTTCATACTGTGTGTGGGGATTATTTGAATACACTTTGTTCTTTAGGTTTCCTCATGGGTAAAAGTCACAGGGATTTAAGTCTGGAGACCTTGTAGGCCACAGTCTCTGACTTGTCATTATGCCTTCAAACACCTTGTTTAAAACATTAGTGAAATAATTAGGAGTGTATGCTGTAACACTGTCTTGCATAAAATATCCGTGTCTTTTCTTCTTCCATAATGCTTTCAAAAAGAAACAGATGAATGTTATTTATGCACCCCTCTGTATTCACAGTATATTTAAAAAATGTGGGTTTATTGTTCATCTGGTAGTAATGGCACACCACACACACACATCTTCTGATTATGAAGGGATACTTAAAAACAATGTCTTGAGGTTAATACTGCTCCAATACCTGTTGTTCTGAGCATTGATATAGTCAATCAGATAACCAAGTTTTATGTGTAAAAAATGTAAGTTCTGGGTCAAGAACAGTGTCATGTACTGACTGAAGAAAAACAGTTACATAAATGCTTTCTTTTCTCGTAATTGCAATTTTCAGTTTCATGAAACTCTTCAATTTTATATAGCCATAGATGTAACATTAGTCGCTGTTCATGCTGTTGTGGTTGAAAATTGTGCCTGTTTTGCTAATCATATCAGGGAGGGATTTGCAAGGTGGATGTTCTAATCTGACACCAGTTTCTTCGAGCTCTCCCTCAACACGGCATTCAGAAAGTGTATTTCTTTCCTAAAAAGTATACTACTTAAAAAATTTATTGATGAAGCTTGGACTCAAATATCAGGTTACTTACAGCAAAACCTTCTTCTTCATGATGTATATAATTTTTTCACATAAGTATTGTACAGAAAATGCTGCTGTTAACGAGTATATTTCACCACTTCAATTCCATACTATAACTGAGGACAGTAATCAGATGTCTGATGTCTTACATGAACAGAAATATGAGGAAGAGTGATGTATTTTACAGTGAGTCATTTGCAGCTGCAGTCATGCCATAAAGTTTTAACAGTTAAGAGAGATACTGTGTATCTGATGGTCACTTTCCCTGTTCATGTACTGCATAATGCATATTGGGTTACCCATAGCATATTCTGCTCACAGTCAGGGGAGTCCAGTCATTTGTGAAAGATAAGGTATTTGAAGATTCACATTTTCATAGCCAAACCCCTTATTGTGTTCACTCAGTACAGGCCATCAGTGAGGAATGATTAAAATGTGAAGATATTCCATTCATCAGATGTCGCCTAATTATACCATGTATAATTATACCATGGTATGTGACATGACTTTTTGTGAAGCAAAGTACACATGTTTATAGGGAAGTTCGTGAATGTCTGAGGCTGGATCCGGAGCACAAGGATTGTTTCCCTCATTATAAGATTGTAAAGAAAGTGGATAAGCTTATCAATGATGCTCAGGAGGACATAAACCATAAAGACTATCAAGATTGTATTGATAGTGCTAACAAGGTGAGAACAATGTTTATATCTTTATAATTTTCTTCTGTCTTCCACTGAAGGGAAGGCAAGGCAGTTAGCTGATGCATGTACTGTGGAACACAACTAATGTCCATATAGAGCTACGTCAGTGTAAGATTCTGACTGGTCAGTTACTGAAGTGAAATTTGACCACATATCCATGAGCTTCTCATTTAAAATTACAAGAACAGCATGTTGCATGATATGTGATAGTTGCAGTCACATGAGATAGTCAGGCCTCGCTCTCTTTCCGCTCCTGGGAAATTATTTCATCTGCTGTTGCAACTTTAGTCATAAGCTGAGTAGTATGCCTAAAATTGAGGAGTGCTAAGTAGTGCCATGGCTGGTCACGGTAGCTGAGCGGTCTAAGGCGTGCACTGTCTTTGCTCACTCGGAAGCCGGGATCGTGGGTTCGAGTCCCACTCAGGGCATGGATGTTTGTGCGTTTTTCTGTGTTTGTATACAGGTAGAGGCCTTGCGACGAGCTGATCACCCACCCAAGGAGTCCTACCGAATGTCTAAGATCTAAAAAAACCGAAGTGAACGGAGAAGTTCATGGAGGTAGGCCTAGGCCCACTGGGGCTGTAGTGCCATGTGTTGCAATATAAATCAGAATGGTGTCTACAGCTCAGTTATGTCTTGTGAGCCTCTTAATTGAATTAATCTCATTTTCTACCCATCAGTGTATATACCTGATTGTAAAAGTGAGGAATAATAATATGTATATCTAAGAAACAAATGTTTCTTAAATGTAATAGAAGTCCTTTAACCATGAGGGATGTGTAATAGAGTACCCAAATACTTTGTTGTTAATGATAGATTATAATGAAAAGTGAACAGAATTTTGCATTGCTACATTATCTTCATCACAGATTTTTATGTACATGGCTTATGGCTATTTTGCTGTTCGTTTTGTGTAGTGACTAGGCTGCAAATTGGTGATTGAGGATTTGGGACTAGGACTGTAATTTTGAACTTTGTCATCATATTGAGCCTTTCCTTTAGTTCTTCTCTTCCCCTCCCCACTTCATTTTTCTTTTTTCTTCTTGATATGATGGACAAAATCCAAAATAATAGCCCTAGTTTTGGTTATGCTCCATGTTCAGAAACTTTAGACTCTACTTGAGGAACAATAGTTCAATTCCCACAGGCACAAGAGATTTTTCTCTTCTGCACAGCATCCATAACACCTCTGAGGCTCACCTAGCATCCTATCCAGCAAATAGCAGGAGCCCTTTCCCAAGGACTGAAGTGGCTGTGTATGAAGGGGACCATTCACCTCCATCTAGTGCAAGGAGCTCCACCTCCACTCCCCCATACATTTTCATCGCATGGTGCTTGATTAAGCATAGGGACAATTTATGTTTCGTTAGTGTAGCAAGGAAATGAAATGAACGATCTTTTAATCCTGTCTTGTTTAATAGTCACCATTTTATGATAGTTTTTCTGTTAAAAATTTAACAGAAAGTGCTTCTGTAGACTGATATGCTTCTGCAGCTTCATTGTTCCATATGAACTCATTCATCCACAATCTGACACATTATGTACAAAGACCTATGGGCAGTCTCAGTCAGTAATGTATGTTAAACAATTTACAGTAAAATTAAACCCAGATGGGCAAAGAAAGTTTCTTGCCCTTGGACGTGAACTACAAGTATGAAGTTCCAGATTCTATCACGTTATATCCCTGTATCATTATGGTATTTAAGATTATCACATTTTTAATTTTTTTAAATTCTTTAAGATACTTTTAGACTTTATTCAACTCTTAGAAATGAACAGAGTTGGGCTCTCTCTTTGTCTTCTTCCTGTTGATCTCACTTAAGAACATTGGGCATCTGTGAAACACTTTGTTTCACTTCAGTTTCTTAATCTTAAGACAGTCAGTAGGACTTCTTGGATGGGGGATCAGCCTATTGCAAGGCCACTACCTACACAGGACAACACAAACACACAATAAATGCAGACAAACATCCATGCCTTGAGTGGGATTTGATCCCACAATCCCAGTGTTTGATTGAGTGAAGACAGTTCATGCCTTAGACTGCACGGCCACTGTGATCCATGAATTGGGCACTAATGGTAAATAATATGTATAATTGACACATTTGTAAGTACCCCATCAGTCAGTTAGTGTCAAGAAAGAAATAGTCAGAGAAAATGCAATAAAATGTTACAGTGAATGTTACCATAACAAAAAGGAGATATGAATAATGCAGTGATGTTACAGGTGCTGAAATTGGAAACATCAGTAAAGATGATAATCTTCTTGGCAAAGGAGAAATTGTGTCACTGTTACCTACATACTGATCAGTTGTCACTAAGTCTTCAGAGCTGTCGAGATGCTCTTGAGATCAATAAGGACCCTAGAGTATATTGTGACAGAGCTGAGGCATACATAAATAGTGAAATGTATGATGATGGTATGTATCCAGGTTTCTGTTGAGTTAGGAACTTCTGGTATTCTAAGAGAGAGAGAGAGAGAGAGTGTGTGTGTGTTATATATATATATACAAGGTGGTTCAAATATGACCGGGACTGATTTGTGCGCAAACAAGCCGCACTGCGCAGTAGCTGTGCGACCTTGAGTGAGTGAAGCCACAACCTCCACCCTTCCTCCTGTTCTGGTTAGAACTGTTCAGTCCTGTCTGGGAGTTGTTAGAGCAGTGAGCGAACAGAAGGTACCGCGGACCATGGAACAATGCATTGTGATCAAATTCCTCGGAGAAAACGTCCCGTCCGCTCAAATTCACCCCAGACTCCAAAAACAGTATGGGGAAGAGTGTCTCTCAAGGACCCGTGTGTTTAAGTGTTGTAAGTGCTTCAGAGAGGGCAGAGAGTGCGTGGAGAATGAACCGCATGATCGTCAGCCGTGAACATCCGTCACCGAGCCAAACATTGATCGTGCAGTCACGCTTATTCGTGAGAATAGGCGCATTACTATCAAGGAACTTGGAGCAATGCTGTCCGTCAGTGTTGGTAGTGTAGAAGACATCGTGAAATACCACCTGCACTATCGCAAGGTGAATGCACGGTGGGTACCATGCACTTTGATGGATGTGAACAAAATGGTGCGCGTGTAAGCCCCCAGTTGTCTCCTACAGCAGTTTGAAGACGAAGGTGGTGCATATTTGAAGTCTATAGTGACCACTGATGGAACGTGGGTACGCTACTTCGTTCCCGAGTCCCAGTAGTCATCATGCGAGTGGCAGCATACCAGTTCTCCCAAACCCAAGAGAGCACCGAGGAGCCGTTCAACAGGAAAAGTGATGGCTACGTTCTTCTGGGACTGGCAGAGGGTTATCCATGTAGACTTTCTGACAGATGCCAGAACAGTCAATGCAGCTTATTACTCAGACCTCCTGGCAACAGACCTGAAGGAAAACATCCGATCCAAGCGGAAGACAGGTGGAAAGCGGGTAGCCTTCCTTCAAGACAGTGCACGCCCCCATATGGCCAAAACAACAATGGAAGTCCTCTGGAAATTGAAATGGAACCTTCTGACACATCCGCCGTACAGTCCTGATTTGGCCCAAGTGATTTCTACCTGTTCGGAAGGCTCAAATCAGACTTGCAAGGCATGCGGTTTGTAGACAACGTTGTCATCCAGACTTTTCGGGAGTGGATATGCCGCCAACCTCAAGCCTTTTTTGAAAAGGGCATCAGGATGCTTCCAGAAGGTTGGAAAAAATGTGTTGACTCCGGAGGGGAGTACATTGAAGACTGACATGTGCAAGTAAGTGTTTGGCAATTATGGTTTTTTAAAAAAAAATCAGTCCTGGTCGTATTTGAACCACCTTGTATTTGTTTGAACCACTGTATGTTTCATCTGCTTTGTGCATCATCAGGCAGAAGGTATCAAATAGGAAACCTTTTTATTGAATAAATACCACGTTGAATATACATTCATTTTCAGTTAGGTTTACAGAATATTGAAATATAGTGAATTATGTTTATGAGGTTCATACTGTGAAGTGATTTTAATTATATACTAAAACTGTTAAGGGCGATAGTCTCTCTCTTCAGCAGCTCAACTACCTGGACCTAACCAGGAACTCCTTAACAACTACAGACAATAACACTGCAGCCCTGGAACTTGTGAAAGGATAATCCTCTATCCAATATGCACATTACAGATACCTGGAACAATCATGGAATTTAAGTCTGAATCCAGTCAGTCACAGTCTTATGCAGTAATCACAGTATATGTATTTCTTAACAATTTAATGATATTTTATTGTTATTTATCATAATTATGATTCTACTTCAACACACCAACACCTAATCTAAACTCAGACTGAAGGTGTGCCCTTATCTAAGCTAATTCATTCAATCATATTTTACCTGTGTGAATTTAAGACTTAATTATATATATTTTTAGTGTCTTAGTCTTGGACATTTTAATTATACTGATTTATAACATCATTTTCTTTTATCAAGATAAACACTTTCACTGTGATAGACTACTCTCCCAGATAGTTTCAGTGCATAATTAAAATCAGTTTGTAGCATGTACCTGATAAATATGATTCACAGTTTTACAATACTTTGTAAACCTTATCGAAAATGGTTCTGCATTCAGCAAGGTAGTAATTCAATAATAGTTTTTTAAATTATCTCAACGGAGGATAACCGACTTGATCAAATCTTGTAATGGTTTAAATAAATAATTTATTATTATTGACATTTATACTAATATAAGTTGTGTTGATAGTTATTGCAGTACCTAGTTAATACCGTCACATAACAGGATGCAGAAGTACAAAGATAATTGAAGAACTTTGAATGTTTGTCAATTTCCACATTGCATTTTGTATCTGTGCTCTTTAACAAACTTTAGACATTATTTCTGACTCATATAACTTCGCAAAACATTTAGTTCTTTGCTTCCATCCATTACATCAGTACCCGTTGCTTTTTAACTTCTTGTCCTGATACTGGGATACATGGTGTGTTAGTCATTGAGAATCCATTTACATACATCTGACAACTACATTTCCTTTCATAGCTACCCCCCTCCCCACTACACCCTCCAACCACATCCACAATTGAATGATTTATAAAGGAATTTGTTGTTTTCATATTATCACTTTTATTTTGGATTTGTTCATATCACTCATTGCAATCAAGAGAAGTGAAGGTAACAGCTGTTGTATGCTAACCACTATAATTACTGTTATCATGTGTTCAGCAGCAAAGTTTGGGATCAAGGGCAGTGGGCTTTTAAAATGAAAGTCAAGTGATTTCTGTTTACTTGCTTTAAGCTTGTCTCTGTAATGGAAGTTTCCCGGTACAGATTGTGTTTGTTCAACAGTGTAAATCTGAAGCATCAACGATGTTCAAAACATGATATTGAAATAGTGTTGTACAAAGCAATGATATATGGGGTGTAGCTGTATGATATTAGAAATATGTGTAAATTGTAACTAACTTGATTCTTGACTTTGTGAGTGTTCTTTCCCTTTTGTAATTTTTTTTAGTTATTCTGTGTCTTTTCTTTTCCCACATAGCAATTTCAGAGTGGCATATACTTTCATCAATTGCCTTCTGTCCCTCTAAATGTTACAGTCGTACTGTTGTTAATTGAAATTTAATGATCATACTTTATTTCTTAACATTCATATGTACATTATTCTACCAAAGTTTAAGGTTGATGGCAGATTACTTTCTTTTCCTTTGTAGCTATACATGACTATCAGGAGGCATTAGAATTGGATGAAAACTATAATCGAGCAAAAGAAGGCAAGCAGCGGGCCCAAAAGCTACAAAAGCAGGCAGAGCGGCGGGACTACTACAAAATACTAGGTGTCAGCAGAACAGCCAACAAAAAGGATATAATTAAAGCTTATAGGTAAGAATAAGAACACTAGATATATAGTATTTTCTATCATGAACAGGGTAATATTATGTACTGTACAGCAAAGAGAAAAGTTCTAAATGTATGTTTTAATTTTAATTACAGGAAAGCTGCCCAAAAATGGCATCCTGATAATTTTCAAGGTGACGAAAAGAAAATAGCAGAGAAGAAATTTATAGATATAGCAGCAGCCAAAGAAGTATTAACAGATCAAGGTAAACCTTATTTTTATTTTAGATGAACTAAAAAATATATAGCCAATGCTTCGGGGTTTCAGCACATTGTTATAAGATTAAGAATGTATAGGATATTCAAAGTAATCTTTGCAGCACCATATTCACAAACACCATCAGTGTGTGATTTTCTCTTAGGTTGAGAGACCCATAAAAAGCAACATGAATAATTTTGACTTCAGGAGTGTGGCTGCTTGTGTGTTGAAGTTGTTTTAGAATACAGTGCAGTCACCTTCTTCTCTGTGGTTGAGGCAGACGAATGGTGCTGTCTGAGGTATGTATACTGTATATATCTTAAGTACACAGTGCAGCTGCATGATGTTCAGCCTTGAAGGTGGGGGCAGTACATTCGACCAAAATGTTGGCAAACCTCTACAAAACTACATGGCACCACATCCCAGAAGATGGTACTCTTAAATAAGAATATACTTGGGGAATTATTATGAAGTATGTTCCATCTCTCCAAATTGGTTGCATATGTTCCACATTAGTAATAATCAAGTAAATAAAATTATGTCTGTGTTATTGCAAAGAGATGCTCATTTTTGTGATAACTGGCTTCTTTCATACTGCTCCCATATTCTGTAGTCAGTACTGTTGTTGCCAAAATTATGTGCTGATGCTTATTGAACAATCAGTTTAAATGAAGACATGTTACACTTCTGCAGAATAGGATGGACCAGCTTTGTCTTGTGTACATATTAACAAGAGACCATAACAGTAATAGCGTTTGCAAACCCTGGCAATTAATTATGTTTGAGGTACACAGCTGACTACTCTGAATTTATTTTTATTCTTCATTGCCATATAATACACAGATTTTGCAAACTTAATGACATATATTCACAGGATATGCTTCTTTTGATGTATGGGACAGTAAGTGGAAAAATGAAGTTGCTTAAATTCATGTTCCTTTCGTATCCTGTTGAATTTCAATATGCACTTTGTTAGTTGTTCATGCTTGAGCGATGAAACTTAATAGTGCCCAGTTTGCTACTTTCAGGCTAAAGTGTAAGTCAGAAGTAAGTTTTGATAATAGGAAACAATGTACCATGAACACTGATTTACAGGATGATTCTCTAAGAGGAGGCCCAGATCAGTAATTGTAGTCACGCAGTAATTTACCAATGGAAATGAAACTTACAACTGCATACCTTAGTAAATATGGAGGTAATTGGATTACAGAAGGTGTTGAAATTTGTTTCCCTCCACCTGGAGATGCAAGCTAATGTAACTTTCATGTTCATGAAAGCTGCACCCAGCATGGCAAGAGGAATTTTAGAAGTTGAGGATATGATGTGAACCCAGCAGACTTGGGCTCAGTGTTGCAAAGTACACAGTGCTGCCAAGTTCCATTTTCATCAGTAAATTATTGCATGATTTATAATTATTAATTCATAGCCACCTCCAAGTGAATGGCTCTCTAGTTTATTCATAAATTTTATATCATGCTGCATTTGGTTTATATCACATTACACTGACGTGAAGATAAAGTAGATGCATTGGTAATGATTAAATCTTATACCCTGTTATGTAATTCTGCACATCGGTAGGGTATTTAATGCTTCCTAATTTTAATTGTCGTGTTTGAAACAAATTCTAGAAAATAATGAATGTTCTGTTTGTGCATGTCTGTTAGATATGAAGTCTTGGGCAACATGGCAGACATCCTTGAAAGGTTGAATCATGCTCATTAAACACACAGGCACCATGTAATATTTCAGAGAGAGTTAATATGCATCTCCCACTATTTAGTAACAACTAGCAGAAGTTCTCAGTTTATGCCACAATTATGGCTGTGTTTGTGGTCAATACATAGCATATAGTAACTGAAATATTAAAGAAAGAATGAACTCAAATTAAGAAATTAGAGTATACGTATATAATACAAGAAGTTCTGGGAAGAACTAATCACCTACTTTCCTTTCACTGCATATTGAATATTTGTTATGACATGTGCTGCATAGAAAACGCACCACCCTACCGTTTTTCTACTGTTGCTTGTGTATTCATTGTTGCAGTAATGGGTTTATCTTACCATTGCCTATCAACAGTAGGAGAGCATACACACACACACAGACAGATGGCAAGGTGATCTCATAAACCTCCCTTTTTGTTTTTGCTTCCCCCCCCTTCAAAATATGGTAAATAGGCTAAAGAAGAAAAATTGGTGATGAGCAGGGATCGGATTTTGATGACCTGAAAATATTTAAAAAATTACCAAGAAATCCAGAAAAATGGCCTAAAATATGACCCAAAAATGTAATATGCAGGGCCCGGATTTTGATGAACTGAAAATATTTAAAAAATGACCATATAAAATGACAGAAAAAATCCAGGAAAATGACCTAAAGGAGAAAGAGAAAGAACACTTCACTTCCATATTATTCACATTTCAGAAAACATATGAAGAAAAATACAAGAAATACCGTTAAAAGCCCAAAATTTTACCAAAAAAATACCCCCAAAATGAAAAAATGACCTTTAACCTAAAAATGTCAAAAAACGACAAAAAATTACCTATAAAATTTACATTTCTGTAACCAGCAGCTCGTATCCGATTTATATATTTAAGAGCATTGCATAGGATACAAGGAAAAAAAGATGACATGTCATCAAAATCCGGGGCCTGGTGATGAGGATTAAAAGAAATACCTGGGAAAGAGGACTCAAATTGCATCCAAAAGTTGTACTGAAGTATATATGCATCATTTTAACAGCCATGGCTGCCATACAGTTGGCAAGAGTAAGGAGTAAAATTTGTAATATCTTAGGGTGTTCCCTATTAGATCCATGGTAACAAGAACAGGCAGAAACCAGCAGTGCAATTACAGTTTTGTGTATGTTAGATAGCTTTTCACACCTCTGTGCTGCTGCCTAATGTTGCTGCTAATTCTTCTGATTGATTGCTTCTAATCTTGGTCTTCAGCAGTCAGTTTTCATTCCAAGTAGGAGAACCTTCTTCTCAAGAAAGTCAGGTGGCACAAGTTCGGCCCCTGTCAAGAGAGGTGATAAGAGAGAGGACACGAACCTATTTGGTTTATAAATTCTAACTTAAATAACAAAAGTTTTAAAAATTTTCAATATATCAAGACAGCCGCTGTAGTTGTGAAAACTCTGGATTTTGTATCCATTTGTGTATTGTCAGCATTGTATGTAGTATATTTTAACATTCAGAACACCCATTGTAATTGTGGTTTCCAAACTGTATCGATGTCCCTCTGATGATGGTCTCTAAGGACCGAAACATGTAAGGGCATGAAGAATTGAAATAAGAAAAACTTCACCAGTCACACTGGATAGAATTGTTTTATCTTTTAAAATACTGTTAGTGTGACGGACCAGAATGAAACAAATCAAATTTAAAATTTTTTACGAAACCTTCTGTTTGTTTGGTGTTTTAAAATATTCATATCTGTAAACACACACATATATTTGTTTTCTTTGCAGAGAAACGTGACAAATATGATAATGGTGAAGATCCACTGGACCCTGAAGCACAAGGAAACCAAGGCTTCAACCCATTTCATCCTCACTTCCATGGTAGTCCCTTTCAGTTCAAGTTCCATTTCAACTGAGAGTGAGAGATAACTCACAACTTGCTATCCTACACAGATCTATAAGCACTGAATTGTAAGACATTAACAGTAACATGAATTGAACAATATTCAGTAAGCTACCAGTCATTAGTTGTTACGTTGCTGTGTCTGTTATTCATGGCCCCAATATTATGACCTGGGGGGAACTTTGTGGGATTTTGTTATGTTGGTAGGGTCCTGTGAAGTCAGATTGTGGTAAAGGAATTCAATAGTGTGTTGTATTTGTCTGATTTTTTTTGTCAAATCGGTGAGAAAAGTCTGCAACATAAGCGCTAAACTAAGACTGCATTTTTTTAAATTTTAAGTAAAACAGGATCTCTTGTTAAGATCTTTTTTACAATGGCAGTGAAAGAAAACGTGTTTATGGAAAGCACAATGTGCAGTGTCAGATATTGCTACCAGAGAATCCTGCAAGAGATGTTAACGTCTGCAAGTTCTGCACAGAGTTAATTTTGATAGGTTATCTTCTGTGTAGCACAGTTGGTAAGAATTTTTGTTTACACATAAGTCCCATCACCTAGCCCGTTATGGAATAATATGTAAATTACTGTTATGCCTAATTTCTCATTTGATCTTTATGTGAAGCATCCTGAACTGTTGTACTCAGTGTTGACAAAAGAGCCATTTTTTAAACCATAGTCTTCCTTAGAAGATTCTGCCAGTTTGCCTCCAGTTTTTACTCTTTGGATTTTGCGACGGTAATTTTTTTACAGAGCAAGGTTGTCAGCCTTGTGTCCAACCCCCAACCTGGAGGACCAGGTACATGTATTTATGTCCTCCCGTGACAGCGTGGCCCAGTTATATCCCCGGACACTGGGTTCCCTTTTTGTCACCTTCTGTGACACGGTGCTACAGTGGAAGTATTTTAGCCCACCTCTACATGAGGAGAACTGTTGTAATATAAGGGATAAATTACAGTTCCTCATTTTCTTTATTTCATTTATATTGTATTTACATAATCTTGTGCTTTGACCTTCAGCCTTTCTACTGAGTGATCAGGCAGTAGCAGAACACGTTTATTTTTGGATGTGTAATCAGTGCTCAGTTGTACTGGGGTTAGAATATATATAAAGGATTAACATCTCACAGTGTGTGGAGTCACTGTTGTGATATTTTGTACTCTGATGGCTTTAGTGTTTCAATTGTGTTTTGTCTGCTTGCTGTTGCACCATGGCTGGCCATCACTTCATTTTTCACTATCTATCTATATATATATATATATATATATATATATATATATGCTCCCAGCATTTGTAAAAATGTGCCAGATATTTAGTGATGCAAATGAAGCCAAATGGAAGTTCAGTGACTCGAATTTGAATCATATAATTGAAAGTAAACAGCCTGTGTAACCCCTGTTATAGCGGCCTCCGTAGTCTAGAGGTAACGTTCCCACCTCATGACTTGTAGTACGCGGGTTCAAATAGCTGGCGGAGGTTGTCGAATTTTTAAGGGCGGAAAAATTCAGGGAACAAGTCCTCTGGGAGGGACTTTAAGCCGTGGGTCCTGTGTCGTAGCTTTACAGCACGTAAAAGAACTTCATATCTCCATAGGAGGTCACTGAGCCAAATTAACAGACGTTTCCTGCCCAACAGCAGTCTCTAATACCTCTGGTAGATGGGGAAGCATTATAGATACCTCTCAGCTAGTAGAGCCGGTCTTGCTGGCTGGGCGGGACTGATGGTAAGCACCAGTACCGGTAGGATATAGAGACTGGTAGAAATCATAGAGGGAAGCACAATGGACCAATACAGGTCTCAGTGCATGGGGAAACCCACCCTCTCCAATAACTAACTAACCAACCCCTGTTATGGTAAATAGACATATAACTAGCTGTTTTTGTAATTTCTATCAAAGTATATTTTCTTCTGATTTATGGAAAATCTCTGCAGAATTCAGTGCTTAGTATTCTTTGATATTTTCAGAATAGAAATATTTCTGAATTTGTATATTTCAAACTTATTGTGCTAAAATTTTTGCAGGAACCTTTATTGTCTAACAACAGGGATTTTAAATCTTCCTGTACTATGGGGTTGGAGCCATATTTTAATTTGGAGATTAATGTCAGTGTAAAAAATTATGATATGTGGCCTTTAAATTCTAAGTTCAGGAAACATTCCAAGATGACATTGAGTAGCATGTGACTTTTTTGTTATATACATATGAAGCTTCACCTGAAATGTGGTTATGTGAAGGCTTGTATTTCATTCTTTGGTTATTAGTTTGGGCTTTGTCCTATAGCACAGAGGTCCTGCTAAGTTCACAGTGCGGATAAATTCATGTTCCTGACCTGAAAGTTTCTTGTACATGTGTGCCAAGCTTAGATCAAATTCTATGTATTGAACTTTCATATTGATGAACCAAAACTTCTAGAAGTTTTTCAGAATGGAAATTTGTACTGATGTTATTTCATAGATGTTTCGCAACCATGTAATAATTTTTAGTTTTATGGTTGTTTTCAGCACTTCCTTTTGTTGATCTTGTCTTTGGACAGTGTTATGATCATTGAATATAATGTCTGTAGAGAAAAAAGGGATTCTGAAAGCTAGGACTGTTCAGGCTGATGGTTTAATCATAAGATGATATAACACAGATGTTAGGTAAACATAAATGTAATGTTTTATTTATCAGATGGAGGGTAGTGTTTCTTTTTTCTTCTTCCTTCTTCAGAGGTAGTGCAGTGACAAAGACCGGTCACTTGACTATCTTAAAAAGAAGAGATCAGAGTGTGCTCTTCAGGTTTGTGACACAATGTAGTTCTGTGGGCGGAGACCTACATTTCAGAGAAGCATGCTGCTCCAAAGGACTACAGGAGACTCTGGTGATAATGTGAAGGTCCACCTGATTTAATTATACTTGTAGTATATGCTTTACTTTTGTAAATTATACCAGGTTATGCCTGTAAATTCCTGCAGTCATGGCACAAACTTTCATTATGTTTTGTACTTATGCCATCATTGTAATTGGGTGCCATACTTGAGAACTGCCTCCATACCATGCTTTAAACCATATAACAGATCAACTTTCTGATGTAAATGATTAAGTTTTAGTAGTGAATGTAGAGATATATTCTTTTCTATACATGCAGTGGCAGTCTGCTTTTACTGGTTCTCACGGTCTCTTCGCTTGTGGATTTCTTATATTTTTCTTTCTAACCTGATGATGGAGGCGATAGGTTCCTCCGAAACGTCGGTTAACAACATATTTATATATATATATACATGGTGCCAAATCCCAGAAGACTGCTTTCTTCATAGTCACCGCCGTGAAAGCCTCAAATCTTACATCATGTATGTAACTGACCTTATGGCAGGATCATTGTCCATGTCCCATGTTTTATCTCACCGAAAGAAATTTCCTATTGCAGAATCCTTATTTCTTAATCTTTTCAGTGTAAATGACAATAAAATACTCTATGACGAGGACAGGAAAAGTAGCTTTGGTAAAAGTCTTGTGTTAAAATGTGAGGACAGAAGAGTTGGATGTTCATTTACATAATTTATGGGATCTAAGAAATGTTATACTACAGATGAACATGTTGTGTTCTTTGAAATGTGTAAGTTGAATTTATTTTTTCCATAAGATATAGTACTACATTTGTTAAAATGTTCATATGCGTAGGATTTTGTTTTCGTTAAATGAATTGGAAGTCACAATTTGTTAGCCTGTGCAATGTTCATAAATTCAAATTGTTCTTTTCTTTAAAGATCCTAAGTAGAGGTTTGTCTGTACTATAATTTGTTAGATGCATATATGTAATTAATCACACATAGCCCCAGTTACAGTAATGATCATTAAAAACTTACACCACCAAGAATTTTCTATGGCACTATGTAAAATATTTTCTAAAATTTGAATGTTAGAAATGGAAATTGCATGTACAAAAATGTGGACCCATGATTGGTCACTGTTAATAGTGAAATGCCATACAGTAGGCTTGCAGAATATAGCAGTGCTTTCTTGACATGAACTGCCTTGAAAGAAAAAGTCAGATGTCCACTTGACTGGACCGTAACAAAAGAAAGGTATGTACAAAATCAAAGGCATATCAGTCATGTGAGACGGGTAACTAGTCGGAGCCTGTGAGTTTCAGACATCCAATTTTATTTTATTTGTAACTATTTAAATATCTGATATGTGCTCCCATGAGCAGAAAAACTATTTTCTCCGTGAAGTTTGCTGATGACTGAGATGAAGTGCGGAGTGTCTGTGTACAGAAGTGTGATATGTATAAAGTAATAATAAAAGTAAAATTTGTACATATGTTATACTTGTGAGTTTAGTTACCTTTCTTACCTCCATTTTTTTGTAACGGCAGAGTTGACTTTCTCCTGAATAAAGGATAATCAATCTGGTTTAGTGGACTGTGCCCTTTCCTTGTGTAAGGTTTAAGGATAAAGACTGGAATAATCTGATTCAGGATAGTATCCATTGGTGGGTTCCTGGGAACCTTTGAGCTCCATAAAAAATGAGGACCTTCTCAACCAACTGAGTGTTGTCTTTCCAAGAAGAACATTGCTCTTTGATGTTATATGTTATATGAGAGAATGATACTAGAGTTTGCAGTTCTTATGTGAAAGTGTATACTTCTGGAATGGAGTCATGATTACTGAAGGAGTGGAACCATTTTCAGTGCATAGAAAATATCAGAATGTTAATGAGAATATTTTTATGGCCTTGGTGAAATATACTTTCTGCATCAAATTGTCTATTGATTCCATAATTCTGTCATTTGTATTGGTCTCCCTATTTGTTTATGGTAGAGGGTGTTGAGTGATCTCATCAACTTAAAGTTTAGTGTTACCAGTAGGTGTGTAATAATATTAAATTTGTAGTATTGTATCATAGCATCCTGTTGCACTTTTCACTTGCGTCGCTCATTCTCCATCTTATGTGCAACACTGCGTTCCACTAAAGTTGTCCCCTGTACAAGTTTTTTTTTTAATGCATTGCATGTTTCGGCCAACATGGCCATCATCAGGTGTTAAAAATATAGATAATGAGGAAATCGCTGCTTTCATTTGTTGCTGTTGCATATGCAGGTCCCTCTGATATGTGTGCATGTGTTGTGGTTGGTGTGTTCACATGCTACAAAGAACTACAACTGCATATTTTTTTGTTAATTACGATCTTTTGCTGAAAAAATTGAAGCAGCTGTTTTTCTGTAGAGTGGCTAATTATGACTGAGACTAAGATAATTCGGTAGCACGATATGTTGTATTTTAACTAGTTCATGTAAACCTACATATTCAGGTAGGGTGATGCTCGTTTGGTTATGTAGAATAATAGACTATGGTAATTTTCGCGACTATTCTGGAGAATATTATTGAATCTTCAATATACACGTTAGAAAATTTACGGGTAGTGTGGCTTTTTTTGTATTATTTAAACAATTTTAAAATTTAAGGAAAACGTGTATTGAACATAGAATATATTTCCCTTTTCTCTGCCATTTGTTCGGAATATTTCAGCTCCGATAAATACGTGTAGTTAGCAATTTGCCATCAACATACCTACAGAAACACATGTACAGTGTCATTTTTGTCCGACTTTAACCAAATGTTAGAATATCTCGACTTTTTTTTAAACTCTGCAATATTAAATTTCATGAAAATCCTTGACGGAATGAATTTAATAGGCTATCCGCAGGGCTACGGACGCGTGTAAAAACTGCAAAGTATGACCAGAAAGTCATTCTGGGTTTTTATGGGGTAATTTCTTAGCTACTATAAATATTAAAGAAACATTTCTCGGAAATGAAGTTTAACTCCGAAAGTTTCCGTTCGTAAATTTCTACATGCGTTCATTTCGCGGAAGGACGGATATCTAGCCGATATCTCGTTTTAGGTAATCTCTGGAGTTATTTATCACAGCTGGAGTGACTGCTGTTGCGGTTCGTCTAAGTTGGCCACCTGCGCAGAACACCCATACACGGCACATCTGATATAACTCCCTAAGAAACAGCCGCGGGACGTGAAATTGGGTGATCTCGGAGGCCAAATGACCGGACCTAAACAGTGGGTATGGAGGTGAGGTCCCATCGCCTGTCATATATGAGTGTAAAGGACAGGTGACCAAACAAAATTCACTGCAGCTATTGATAAAAGCAACTCGAGAGATGAGATAAAATCAATTATCGCCTAGATATCTGTTGTGCTATGAAAGGACTGCACATGGGAATATCACTGAAACGTTTTGAGTTCAAATTAATTGAAGCAAATTATTTCTTTAATATTTATAACAGTTAATGAAAGAGTCTCCTAAGACCACGGAGTTACTTTTTGAACTCCCTGTAAGGTAAATATTTGGGAAGTTCAGATGCAAGCGTTGATATGGGACCCACAGCTCTTTTCGCATGAAAACAGTCACCAGAACAATGTCTCCTTTTATGGCTAGCAGAGAAGAGGTGTTGTCATGATGAAAATCAATCACTG